GGATATAATAATAATAATAATAATAATAATAATAATAATAATAATAATAATAATAATAATAATAATAATAATAATAATAATAATAATAATAATAATAAACATATCTGTTATACAATACCAGTCAATGTTTTTATAATTTTGACTGGAGTTTTTGAATAATAATAATAGACTTGGGGAAATGCAATTATGCTCCTATGCACTACGTGCAATTTATAGGTTGCCTGTTGCCTAATCTTTAATGCAATGTCTACTTTTAACAAAGATGAATTTATTAAAAAAACACTATTGCTTGGGCAACATGGTTATAAGGCTAGGATTGCTACTGATGGTTTGATGGATAGCACATTCTTACTTCTAGTATAAATAGTTGGGCTTCTGCATACATCAATGTGCTAGAAACAAAGAAACAAATTAGAATTGTATGTAAAGTTATTTTTTTAAATGCAAAGTTGTTTAGGTGAACATTACAGAGCAACCAAATCAAAGAGAACCCACAATTGCAACTCTTCAGTTGTTTCCAAATTTAATAATCTATAGAAGAAACATGCTTGATTTACCTCATTGGAAAGACCTGGAGGATGGTCTTGAACATAATCCAAAAGCTTTTTAGGAGGCTGCATCATATAAGCAGAATTGCAAGATGGAATGGAGGAGAATCAGTGACAGCAAGGAATGAAACATATGGAGAAGGTGACATAGTTAGAAACTGAGTGTCGACAGATTACAAGAGTGGCACATACATCACAAAATGGGAAGAACAGGTGTGGGTAGAGAATGTGTGATAGTAACTATCCAACCACCTTAATGACTCTTCATTTGTAGCAGTTAGTAAACTGTTAGTTCAAGTAAAAGGGACACCCTTAAACCTGGTAAAAGAGCAGAATGTCAGGGATTTTTTAAAAATATATAATTGTTGACTCCTGTTTAGGTTTCTTCTGCATTTAGAGTTAGATGTCTGGATGTCAGTGGGGTACTGATGATTAACCTTCTGGTACACTCTGTTCCCTCAATTCATTTGTTAGGTTTGAGTAAAAGTTGGTAGTGGAATGTGAGCACCATTGATGGAAGTCATCTGTGCTCTTGTTCTATGGGGATCAGAGTTGGCAAAAGCACAGCTCTCCAAATGTTGATGGGCCACTGGCTATACTGTTTAGGGCTCATGGGAGCTGAAGTTTAACACAATCTGGATAGCCACATTTCCCCAACCCTGCTGGATATGAACTCTCTTGGGAACTAGATTAAAGCCTCCTAAAGCTGGTTTATGTCACGTGAATAGGAAGGTATCAAGGACAAATAACGATAACTTCCTATTCACGTGAATAAGAAGATATAAAGCACAAATAATGGATCCCCTTAACTTTGAACAGAACAAATTATTAAACATCTGGGAAATTAAATGCCTGAGATGAGATCTAGGGTTCAAAGGAACCACAAATGGCAGGCACAGATCTAGTTCCACATTCTCTTCTGTAACATCTAGATCAGTGGTTCTCAACTTTGGATCCCCAGATATTCTTGGACTACAACTCCCAGAAATCCTGGCCAGCACAGCTGGTAGTGAAGACAACTGGGAGTTTTAGTCCAAGAACATCTGGAGATCCAAGGTTGGGCATTTTTGATCTAGATCTAATTTTACCATGTTCTAGCTCTGTTGGCAGCTAATTATGCAGACCAGAGACAGGAAAGTTCAGAACGCTGTAATGTTATGACAGAGGGATGCTCTGCAATATGGTTCTGCAGAGGAGACAGTATGTGATATAGGCGCTGCTTTTATGGGCAGGCTGAACCTTTAGCAGAAAGTTTAGTTTTTCTAGAGATTCCACTGAGATGTAATAAAGACATGTAAAAGTCCTTGTGACAAAAACATATGATGAACAGATCAGGCTCTCATGGAACAACTTAACCACCCAGTGAACTGAGAATTAGGTGAATCTACGCCATTGTACTATGATAGAAAGACTGATTCTGGCAACATGTCATGGCATCCCAACATTAAACTGCTAACAGTTACTGCTCAGTGATATTCTTTATTTTAAACAAGAGAAATAACTATTTTAGTTCTCACATGTGATTTGGTATTGGCTACCTTTATTCTAATGTGACTATTCTTTCTCTGGACAAGAAAGTTGAGCAGTGCTTAGCATAATGAGGGGAAAATGAGAGAATGGCAGATAAGATGTATTCTGTCTGGACTGCATTTGGGGACAGTTGAAGCAAGAATGGTGAAGCCTCTTCATTGTATGCTTTCTGGGTATGCCAATGGACTGGATCCAAGGCTACACCTGTGGTAGCACTAAGACTATGCCCTTTCCCCACTGCAGCCCTCTTTGGCATGGAAAACCTACTCCAGAGCATTTCCCAGCCCAATGGGGCAGGTTTACAGGGTGAAAGGAGCAGCTGTGAAGAGGGAGGGTGACTTCACCCCTCTACTTCCGCCAGCAGACATCCCCATTGGATTTGGGCCAATATCTGGCTCTTTAAATATGTGTATTCCAGACATCACTTCAAATGCAACAAGCAGGAGATCTGGTCCAGTTATCTCCCTAGAATTGAGTGAGGAGCAATTAAGAGCAGTTTGGCACATGTCCACAAAGGCAACCACTAGGATAGAAAAAAGCTTTAATTCGCTGGCAGTTGCACCTTGAGCAAGCTAAGACCCACCACACTGATGGACATCTGACACTTGTAGATATATTTGCTCAAGGTCCCCATCACAGCAGCAACGCAGTAACAGAAGCAGAAGGCACGCATGTGTCCTGGTGGCAGTTACTCTTGCAATATCTGGAGCAGTTCTTAAGTGCTCTTCATTTCTTTCTGGGGAGATAACAACATCAGACTACTGGTGTCTGACACCATAAGACTGATGTGAGATAAGAGAGTCCTTTCTCTAAGGTCATTATCTGCTAGGGTGGTGGATGGAACTGCTTCTTCCTCCTCTTTGCACCCACCCCCCTCATCTGAAACATTCCCAAAGCATGCTCTAGAGTGCTAGAAAATCCCCTAGAGCTGGTTTCCACGCAATAAAGAGGGCTGACAGAGAAGGGAGAAAGTTCCATCACGCTATTTTGATATCAATAGCATAAAGCTGGATTTAGCCCTTTCATTTTAAGCAGCTTTGCCGTTCTGCAGTAGAGAGCCAAGATCTTACATAACTATGTGCTGGAATTATATTAATGGTAAAGCAATGATAATGAAAACTATAACACAGATTGTAATGTATTGTTTTTCATTTGTAACTTAGATCACTTTCTGATAATTAGCCTGAACCATCAGCATATTCAAATTAATGACTACATCAATATCTCAGGAGGTCATAGGATTCATTTAGCAAAAATAGAGGAGACTTAGCTGGTAGTTTAATTTGGCTAACCATTCATAGGAAATTTGCTTTTAATACTGGTTGGATTTTGCTCTTCCAGAAAAGTAAAATTTATATATGGCAACTGTGATATACAGAGCATCCATTAACACTGATGATAGTGTGCATCAATTATTCCTCTTTTAATTGACTAAAACATATTTGGAATCTTGGCATTTGGATCTAGAAGTGTGTGATTTGCATTTTATACTCCTAAATTCTATAAATTAATATTCTAGCCTCACTTACCGGGCGTCCAAACTCCAGCTCTGAAAAGAATTTATACCAGGGTTCATTTTCTAAATCTATGTCATCTGGGTTTATGCGATCAGTCTGGAAGAATTGTGAAGGAAAAAGGGAAGGAAAAGGCACACACTGATCAAAGTGGTGGAAATGACATGTCACACTGATGACACACAAACATTAACACAAATAATAGAAGAGAAAGAGGGTGAAACAAAAACAAAGGGATGGAGGAGGGGAATTTCTTGGTGAAATGTGATTTGAGAGTTGCCACACACTGGCTGTTTGAACACCTCCTTTTCCAGTGTACACACATGACAGAGAATAGGATGGCCCTTGAAACATATTTTACAACATGGAATAATAGAGAGTTGCCACACACTGGCTGTTTGAACATCTCCTTTTCCAGTGTACACACATGACAGAAAATAGGATGGCCCTTGAAACATATTGAACTCCTTGCCACAGGATGTGGTGATGGCATCTGGCCTAGATGCATTTAAAGGGGATTGGACAGATTCCTGGAGGAAAAGTCCATCACAGGTTACAAACCATGATGGGGATGTATAATTTCCAGGCTTAGAAGGAAGGTACCTCAAAATGCCAGATGCAGGGGAGGAGTATTGGGAAATAAGTATCTAGTTGTCTTGTGTGCTCCCAGAGGCATCTGGTGGGGCCACTGTGAGATACAGGAAGCTGGACTAGAAGGGCCCTTGTCCTGATCCAGCAGGACTCTTTTTATGTTATGTTCTTAAGATTGTAAAGAACTGCTATGACTCTTCTCAAAATGAACATTGCTGTACAACAAACAGAAACACTCTTTGCTTGCTTTCAAGTGTGCCCTTCTGTGTGAGAGGAGAAAGATTTGTAAGTTTTGTTCAATCAATGATTTGCTCTCTTAATTTTAAAAAAAAATTAGAAAAAGGTTGTGCAGACGAACCAATGCTAGTTAAACTCACATGATTTGGCAGAATTTTAGGATCACCCAAAATGCATGTTAATTTTGCATTTCGAAGCCAAGCACATGGAAGCAATACATAGCATGGGAACAATTCACTCACCTCCAGAATCTCAGCCAATGCAAAATAAAGTATACAAATAATAGCGGTAGATCAGATAGCACTTCTGATCTCTTCAGGGAGAACGGAATAACCTAGCCACCTCCTCCTGCTACCTCCTCCCTCCAACAGACAGCCGATTCTGAGTGTTCTTCCACACAGTCAAGGAGACACAGATTGGGTTCTAACCATCCCGTATATATCTATGACTGGGGAGAACTAGGCATTTTTGTTTGCAGTCAAATCCACTTCACAGAGTTGTTGATTTTCACTAAGGATCACTTGTTTGTCCTTAACGCAATGATGAGGAACACATAGCAATTCAGATGCTGTTGAATTACAGTTCCCTCCAGTCTTCATGTACAAACCATTGGGGATTTATACTCTACAACATTTGCAGAGTCAAAAGTTCCCCCTCCCCCGCTTCACTTTGTGTCCCTAAAAGTTGTGACTTGTACTTTCCCTTTTTAAAAGAGGATCACAAAACCATAGTAAATACCAAAATAAGTGTGTATGGGTTCCCCACGGGCATAGGGCACATTGCTGTGATTTACTGATCTTGCAGCAGAGGGCAGCAAGAAACAGGAATTCTGCTCTTTGAGCTTTTTACAGTTGTACAGCTGCATCATATAGCTATTCAACTCTTGAGAATCCATGACACCTTTCAAGATAATACATTCATATTCAAGGTACTGGACATCTGAAAAAAATGTAAGCAAACACAATCCCCAATAGAAGCAGCATCAGCCTCTGTATTAATCACACCCCATATTCCAAGAAAAATTGATTTGCTAGTTGCCAAAGCTATGCTGGCTGTCTTTTGAGCATGGCACTATAATTTCATCTGCTCTTTTAGTGGTTGCTGCTGTTATGATGGCTGTAACCTTTATGAATTCCATTTTAACATTTGCTGGTCTAAGCTACCCTGGGACCCATTCTTGAGCAAAAAGATGAGATTAAATTGTCTTAATTTTTAGAGACCAATTTGGAAATTGTCATGTTAGAATTCCCTTCTTTTATTTTTTCAGGTCTAGGGTTAAAATGCCCATGTTCTGCTAAGTTCAAGATGAGTTCCATCAGCTCAACCCAAAACACATGTTAAAGGATTTTCGTTAAGAGTGCTTATTGCAAGAATCTTCCTCTTTATTACTCTCTTTCACACATGGATACTTTCTACATCACAGAACTGTAACTGACTTTCAGTCCTACTGTCTGGAGCTGCAGCAGAAATGAGTCTGATCCACTTACATATGACAGACCCTTCAGATATTTAAAGATAGCTTTCAGATATTTAAAGATAGCTTTCAAATCACTTCTTAGTCTTCTCTTTTGAAGGATAAACATACACAGCATCCTCAACTGTTCTTAACAAGATGTTTTACATCCTTAACTCCCCGCCTCTGGAGATGTTTTACCTTGTTTATATACTTCTTAAAAGTAGCGCTCAGAACAAGCCACAGTATTGCAGGTGAGGTCTGACCAAAGCATTATTACTTCTCTTGATTTTCACACTATACTTCTATTGTGGCAGCCTAGTATTCCATTTACCTTTTTGCTGCCATGTTACACATATTCACTCTGTGCTACAGAGTCCTCTGCATCCTCTTCATATGTACTACTGCCAGGCCAGCTGGATCTCATCAATATGCTTGCTGAAATTAAGATGCACTATATTTACAGCATTTGCCTCATCAACTGGGTTTATGACTCAATATAAAAAAGAGGTAAGCTCAGTCTGGCATGAGTTCTCATTAAGAAACATAAACTGGGTCTTTAAAAACATTCTTTTCTGAATGATCACAGACTGACTGATTAATTATTTGTTCTAATAATTGACATCAACACCCTGATGTCAACCTGACTGGTCACTAGTTGCCACTGTCTTCTTTTTCAACTTTTTGAAGATGAGGGTGCCTTTTAACCAGCTTCAGGGACATCATCTATTCTTCCTTTCTCCAAGAATTCTCAAAGATTGTAAAGAGAACCTCTGAGATAATCTCCACACATTCCTTTAGTACCCTTGGACGGAGCTCATCTGGTTCTGCAGATCTGAATTCACTTAAAAAGTATCTAGATGTTCATATACCAACCTCTTCACTTATTTTGGGCAGCAGCCCCTTTACTGTCTCCCTTTTTCTACTTTTACTATGTAGCACTTTTCCCTTTTTTGGAGAAAACAAGAAAAAAGGTGCTCTTTCTGTCACTCATCAGTACTGCTTCATCCTCTCCATGCAGCAGACATATCACTTCCCTTATTCTTTCTCCAGCTCCAATCACAATTGAAAACCTCTTTTTGTCATGCTTATCTATCCTGCAAGCCTGAGTTCATCCTGAGTTCTAATCTTCCTGACCTACAAAATATTGGCTAGAGTTCATAATCTTCCTTTGTGACCACAATCCTCCCTCAACTTCCCACACATGCACCTTTTAGATCATCTAAAATAAATAATAAAGCATATTAGGTAGTCATTCTGGGTTCGTTAAATGTCTTCTGTTTTTCTTTCTTGCTGCACTTATTTATTTGGTGAGAACTGGAATTAGATTTAGACAAAATGAAAACTGATGGAAAGAAAATTGATCATTTCAGGTATCAGATGACACTATATTATTGAGGGAAAATAGCAATGATTGGAAATGACCACCAAGAAAGGTTAAAGAAAGAAGTGGAAAAGCAAGATCATTGCAAAACTTAAAGAAATCAAAAATACTGACTACAAAAGTATTATGTAATTTTAATGTTGACAATAAAGAATCAGAAATTATATCTGGACCTTGGTTCAGTCATCAATCAGAATGGAGATTGCAGCCAAGCAATTAGAAGAAGACTGAGCATTGAAGGGGCATCTATGAAGGAACTAGAAAAAATCCTTAAGTGTAAGGATACATCATTGAAAACCAAAATCAAGATCATCTATATCAGTGGTTCCCAACCTTGGGTCCTCAGATGTTCTTAGACTACAACTCTCAGAAATCACTGCCAGCACAGCTAACTGTGAAACAGTGAAGGCTTCTGGAAGTTTAAATACAAGAGCATCTGGAGACTCAAGATTGGGAACCGCTATGGTATTCCCAGTTGCTATGCACTGAAGAATGCAAGCTGGAAAGGAAATTGGCAGGAAAAAAACTGAGATAAATTTTAAATCGGGTGTGGGAGGAGAGTTTTACACTTACCAAAAGTTAGTGGGTTCTAGATTAAATCAAGTCACTAGAAGTTAAAATGACTGAATGTAGGTTATTTCCCAGCATTCCCAATGCTAGCAAATGTTGAAGGTAGAAAAGAAGACATTATGAGAAAGATTGGCTTGGCAAAAGAAGCTATGCCCTTTAGTTGCAAGACCTGTGCAGGGCTGTCAATGGTAGGACCATCTGGAGGTTGTTAATTCATAAGGCTGCCGTAAACTGGAACCAACATAATGGCACACAACAGGAAATGAAAGTCAGCACTGGTCTGTTTCTGAGGGAATTAAATTGGTATTATCCCCTGAGGAAAGGTTATCATATTTGAAATACACTATATTCTGTGTAATGTTTGAGTTCTGGCCCATTTAATTTTTGTGTCTGGTATTTTCTTTCTTTTACTAGCTTTTAAGAGCAAAGCTATCCATCATATTACAAAACATGACTATAAAACCCATGAGCTCCTAGGTCTGCTTATTTGCTATGCTGTTTATTAGTTTAGGATTTATCTACTTGGTACCAGTGAGAAGTATATATCTCCTTTGTATCAACAGAAAGATATAGTTAGTCCAATAAATCCACTTCCTGCTACTCAGATCTGCTAGTGGGAATGTGAGACTCCAGTTATTCCTGCATGAGCAGATATGATTCCAACAAGGTTAATATTCAACACCTGGCAGAATTTGTACGCATCAAATATACAGAAGCCACACATTGTACAAAGCATATTGATACTTGACATAGCAAAATTGACAGACTAATGAAAACTGGTCTCTTGTACACAGCTTTTGGATCTAATGTTGAACGAGAGTTGGATATAACGCTATTAATCTCATAATGACTTGTGAAAATGAGCCTAATCTTTCTGCTTGCTCTTCCTTCATTAACTATTACTGGAGGTGTGCACTGTCTAACTTTTCTATGGCAGTTAAGGAATATGCTTGACCCCTCCACATCATGTTTCTTTTCTCCTTTCAGACTTCCATACGAGTTGGAGATACCAGAGTTGAAATCTCAGTCATGATACTCAACAGATGACTATACAGAGAAAACTTATTTAAGTCTTTTTTATTTCACTCAGCATATATTTAGTTTTATTTTTAAACATGTTCCTTTTCTCTCCCCTTTAATGTTACGTTACTTATTTCATTGTGAGTAGGGAGGCTGAGCAATTGTTTCACTAATTTTATACAGTAACTACTTCTTATAAGGATAACACTATGATCTTCATCATAACCACTGCCACCACTATCAACATTGCTGCTGCTATCACTGCCCCCAAGCAGAAGCAGAACTGCTATCTTTCTTGTGAGATTCCTGTACCTTAGTCATGTGACCACCATAACTCCAGTACACAAAGCCTTTTCTAGGATTGTGTCTCTATACTAAGATGAGTTGCACCTGCTAATTTTATTCTCACCATGAACTTGTAAAGCAATGTGTAGCCTTCTAAAAAGGAAGATGGCTATTTTGTATTAGGAAAAGCCGAAATGCAAGTTAAGTCTCACATCCAACACGTGAAACCTATTTTGGGTGGACTCATGACAATATTGCACATTGCATCTGAAATGGAAACTCATGCATTTCCTTTCTCAATTTCTGTATAAATATGCAAAGTAACCCTGTCCAGCACAATATAGTACCATGTAATCATTTTATCTTTATTGCATAAGGTCAGATTTCAATCTGTATTACTAACAGGAAATAATCTCCAACTTCATGAATGCAACATAAAAAGACAGAAGTCTAAATACCCTGTTTCCCTGAAAATAAGATCTAACCTGAAAATATGCCCTAGTATGATTTTTCAAGATGCTCGTAATATAAGCCCTACCCCAAAAATAAGCCCCAGTTAAGTGAAACCCCGCCCTCCACCACTGTGCAGCAACCAGAAATGATATGTAGATTGTTGTACATGAAAAAAAATCCCCTAAAAATAAGCCCTAATGCGTTTTTGGAGCAAAAATTAATATAAGAACCTGACTTATTTTAGGGGAAAAACAGTATATTGCACACTGTAAACTGCATTTCCTTTGTCCACCAGTTCTAGAGTTGCAACAGAAAAGGAAAGCCTTTTAACTTTATGCAAATAAAATGTTTTTAAATTAACCTCAGTTTCACAGGGGAGATTTCTATGCTGGTGTTACATTAACAGTTCAGTTCTATACTAGCTGATTTAGAAGATGTTCTAAAGAAATGATTCATGGAACACCAGAACTGTGGAACAGGAAACACCATGAAAGTTATGCCATTCAGTTTCCAAATCTCATCAGTAGACTTCTGGGGTAACATCCTTTAATCAAACGCTTAAAGGGTCCACAATTAAACATAACCGTCACTGAGAATAAGCAGGAGGTGCAATGCAGACAAAATCAGATGCAGCAAGGAATACAGATTAACTGGTTGCTTCAATCCCATGCTTTTAACAACAAAGCATGCAAGTGAGGAATAGGGGTATGTCCTCTTTTCAGAGGTGACAGTCCTCTCTTCATAGGCATTTTCCATTTGAAAGACTGCCCAGCCCAAGTCTGACTTAAAGTATTAAAAAACCACAAGGAGCAAGATCAGGGACATTAAAGCTGCTCATCCACTGTTGGTAACACCCTGAAAGCAGAGGGATGAGGCACACAGGTCACCAAGGTTATGGATGTCTTCTCCTCCTCTTTAACACCAAATGAATGCTATCTCATGATCTGGTGTCACTATGCAGTCTATGTTTCTTCACATTTCTATCCCGGTTAAACAGTATTGGCTTGCCTTCACCAAGGGGCAAAACACTGCTTTCCACAATGGTCCTGGATGATGGTGTATGCTGAATTGCATTTTATCAAGGCAGAGTGAACTTTATATGGAATGGTAATCCTTAGAGCCACTCCTGTTTTTCCTTGTAACAAATATCATCACCTCAGCTTTCTTTGGATTCCACTGAGTGTCTGTCCATAAACATACTCTGAAATTATTCTGAGGTTGCATCTTTTTCCTTGACTCTCACAAGGATCCAGGGATATGCTAGGCAGGACATGATGATGACTGCATTCAATTTATTGCATTTCAATANTAAAATAGTACAATATGTGAAGCAGAATTGGCTGACATGGATTTGAATTATTCCTGATTGTTAATTAACAAACATCCCACACGGCTCCCTCCCTGTTGTCTTTCTCTTAGCAGACAAAATCATCTGTACTCAGACAGATCATTAACATTTAACCATGACTGCCTCTGAGGGATTTTTTTACCTGGTTGGGTACTGCTATTTTTTATTGTCTTAATTATGTTGCTTAAATACGTCTGGAATCTTTTTACTTATGCTTATGGGCATTCAGTCAAATGGTGTAAGTCTCCGTAGCAAATTGCTGCTAGTTAAGAGGTCAAAGGTTGCATTTCTGGTCCCACATCAGTCGCATTGCTTGGCACAGGAAAAGAAATACAAGCTTCAGTTTCTTAATGAGTGTTAATGTGCTGCTGACATTTACACTATTGGACTTACGTTGGCATAAGTGAATAATAGGATTTTGGCTACTGTCATATCAGCATTTTTATTACCAATATCTGTCTTCAGTGCTACGTCTTCTGGTAGAAAGACAGAATATAAATTTAATAAAGATGAAGCAAATATAATTTCATCATTTATTTACAAGCTGGTAGAATTGTGACAGATTGTATCATCATCATGATAGACCTGCAGAACTGGACGGGAGTCCATGGATCCCTGAGTCCATCCCCTGTCAAGGAGACACAGGGGGAAACTGAACTCCCAACCTCTGGCTCCACAGCCAGAGACCTAAACCACTGAGCTATCCAGCAGTTACTGTCAAACTGATTAATAATGTAAATTGCTAATTTAGCTTTTACCTTGATACTGGAAAACTACAATATAACTGACTGCATGGAAAAAAACAGAAATATAAGCAAATATACCATGTAGTATATTTAGGAAGCATGTAAAATGCAAGTAGATAAATAGGTACCACCTCGGTGGGAAGGTAACAGCGTTCCGTGTCTAGTCGCGCTGGTCATGCGACCACAGAAACTGTCTACAGACAAAACGCGGGCTCTACAGCTTGGAGACAGGGATGAGCACCGCACCCTAGAGCCAGACACAACTGGACTAAATGTCAAGGGGAACCTTTACCTTATATTTAGGCGGATATACTTTGGAAGGCATGTTCACAGCGTAATACAGCATTAAGTAAATCTGTCATCCAAATGAAAACTGCAATTCTCCCCCCCAAAAAAAAATCCTGAGATTTTTTCATTTGTTTGCCACATCTAAAATGTGGATGTCCCTGAATGAAATATATTTTACAATGGAAGTGTGGATATTTAAGGACAATTGCGCTTCAGATTTAGATAACAAAAACTACATCAGGCCTGCTAAAGCCATTTAGGTCAATCTCTGGATACGACAGCAAAGTATTGCTTTTCCTTCACTAAATATAAAAACAGTAATCACAATGCTACTGTTCTATTTAGTACATTTAAAAAAGAAAACAAAAACCAATTTTTCCAAACGCATCGTATGCAAGAAATTTCCACAAGCAGAAGCAGCTGAGGATGTCGATTTGGATTACTGGAAATGTTATTGTTTAATTACTGAAGCATCAGAGTGCAGCCTTATTAAACATGCTTTTAAATAATTCTAACTCAGCTTTAAAGAAAACCCAGTGAAGAATTTTAGTCACTAGTTAGCATGTATTGAACCATTGTTTGTGAAGATACCAACAGGTGTAAATAATGAAATATCTTTGTGGATTTAGTTTTCTTGAGTGCCTAAGAAACAAGAATTTCATATTCATGTGTAACAAGTCTCAGGATACTTTTAGGTGTCCTGATAAAATTACTACAAAGGTGAGAAACTGTTTACATTCACATATTGTGACTGGATGCTTAGCCATGTAATAAGTAAAAATATATGCTCTTCAAACTCAGCCATTAAAAACAATGCTCAGAATTAAATGTGCCGCAACAACCAAGCAAAAACAGTAATTTGCCCACCATATAATGCTAAATGTTCGCTCAAATTTTTTCCCCCACCACAGTGATACATTTTTAATTTTTATACATGATAAAATCTAGAAGAGGAATACAATTCTTGGAATTCCTTTTTGAATTATCTAACTGAAGCTGATAAAATAATCTCAGTTTTTAATAGGAAAATATTTTGCAGTAAACTATTTTATCAAGCCTAGTCATCTTCACTTACTGGTCTTTCATGTTCCAGGATAGAGGATTTCCCAGGCTCATATTCAAAAATACTTCTTGGTTCTGAACGGAATTTGCGTGTGTCTACCTTTCTGTCTGGAGGTTCCCACTCATTTCTTAAAATAAAAATAAAATTTAGAAGTCAGCAGATTAAATTTAAAGAAATGGTCTTTCCTATCAAATTCTATACATATATGAGAAAAATGTTCAATGGATATTGACTTGCTTTCTACTTGCAGTTTTAAAATATGTGGTTCAAATTCTACTGACTTTTGCAAACTGTTAAAATACAGCATGTGTGTGCGTATTTGTAATCATTTGTATATTATTTATGGAGAAGAATGGTGCTTTTTGCAACCTAAGAACACTAATTGTATGTTTGAATTCACATCAAAAAGATAAAATAATGGCCAAAATCCTTTTGCATAGCTACGCGTGCATAATATGAAGATGTGCAAGCAGTAGAAAAAATCATGAGAGGGTGGAAATAATACACACTAAGAATTTCTGCAGGCATGTCAAACAACAGTTGTGAACATGAACAGTGAAAGGCTGGCTGTCTAGGTGTAAGACTTGGGACACTTCTGTAAGTGTAACTTTATTTACATTATGTCAAATTGAACCAATGACTTATATATTACTTCTGAATCAGTTTTGTTTTGAATTAGTATTACAATGAGATTATAGGGCTCACTTTTCTGGTACTGATCTTTGCCGTGGTCGAATTGGTGGTACAGGTGGTGGTGGAGGTACAGGAGATGAGACCTTAAAGGTCTCCGTGCCATTGTCAGAAGTACTTTTTGTCAATGGTCTGTATGTCTGAGTCTTGGCAGCTGGATGTGCTTGAGCAGAATAGGATGGGCTGAAGTTACCTAAAAAGACAGAAAAAGTACAAACAGGAGAATCAAAAATTTAACTATTTGCATCAACCGATGGCAAATAGAGGAAGAGAGAAAACAGTTTCGGATTTAGGGAGGATGATGGGACTCCTCAAGGCCCAGTGCCTCCAGAACCCAAAACGTACAACCATAAATGCCTGTCTAAACACACAAGGTTTGGCTTTTTATAACTTGAAGGCATTTGGTCCATTTCTGGGCACTATGAAAGGTGCTGGGATTAAATAAACCTCCCAAACCTGTTCAGGTTTCCTGCCTAGGTTTAGGCCAAAACAGGCATTTAAAAATGAGTACAGGGTAAACTACTTTGGATTAAAGAAACAGGGCTTTGTCACACTAGCAGTACAGTATATGCATACAGAGTAGGCTCCATTTCACTTGATAGATCACAAATTGTAATTACTACATTTATTAAATTTATTAGACACCCTAGAGCAGTGGTTCCCAACGTTTTTGACTTGGGACCTCCTTTTAGAATAGCCAAGTAACCTCGGACACCATCAACACGGCACATTTGCATAAAAAGGTATTTTTAATGGGGTCAAACCATCCCTTCTCAGAAAGTAGAGGCTTCTTTTCCCCCTAAAGGGCCTGTTTTTCATACATACATGCTTACTTTAATATCCTCTCCTGAGGTTAATAAATTGAAACTCAATCCAGACAAGATGGAAGTGCTGTTAGTGGGTGCTTCGCCGGACATGTTGGAGGGCCATTTCCCTGCTCTGAATGGGGTTACACTCCCCCTAAAGGACAGGGTCCACAGCCTGGGGGTGCTCCTGGACCCCAGTCTAACTCTGGAAGTCCAGGTGGACTCGGTGGCCAGGGGCGCCTTCCTTCAGCTGCAGAAATTGTAACAGCTACGGCCCTACCTGGATGAGCAGAGTTGTGGTGGGGCCGCTAGAGAACACATCAAGCCAATTCTGTTTAAGTTACAATGGTTACCAGTTGCTGCCCGGGCCCAAAACAAAGTGCTTGTTTTGACATATAAAGCCCTAAATGGCTTGGGCCCAGGATACCTGAAGGACCGCCTCCTTCCATATGAGCCTACCCGGCAGTTAAGGTCTAGCCAGGGGCCCTTTTGAACGAGCCGTCCCTCAAGGAGATAAGAGGGAGGGCTTGTAGACAAAGGGCCTTTTCGGCCGCTGCCCCCAGACTACGGAATGCCCTCCCGACTGAAATTCATCTGGCGCCGACACTGATGACATTTTGGCACCAGGTCAAAACCTTCCTTTTCCAGAAGGCTTTTAATTGAAATAACATCAACTGTGGGTCCTGATGGCAATTTTAATTGTATTTTAATCATTTTATCGTTTATTGTATTTTAGTTGAATTTTAATTGTTGTAAGCCACCCTTTGGGTAGAGAGCCAAGAACAAGCTCTTCCAAAGCCAACTAATCCTCCGTTCCTAGGAGCCATGAGTAGACTTTGTCTAAAAGGGTGGGATAGAAATCTAATAAATAAATAAATAAATGAATAAATAAATAAATAAATAAAGAAATAAATAAATAAATAAATGTCAAGGAACAAATTTTTTAATAAGTGCTACAGCACACATAAGGCGACCTACAACCTCCCATGAAAACACTTCATGAGTCCCTTGGGGGGTCATGACTTCCAGCTGGGAAACACTGCTTTAGAGTCAATGGCTGAAATCTGGTAGTAAGTTGCATCTAGAGTCAGCCCATTGAATCAGTTAGGATTTGGTGAGTTAATGCCTGTGTAAATTTTATTAATTAAATTCTACTCTAGTGAGCTCCCGTCGCTTTATCCCAGCTCCTCGCCAACCTAGCAGTTCGAAAGCATGCAAATGTGAGTAGATAAATAGGTACCACCTCGGTGGGAAGGTAAAACGCCGTTTCCTAGTCACGCCGGCCAAGTGACAGTGGAAACTGTCTTCGTACAAGTGCTGGCTCTACGGCTTGAAAACGGGATGAGCACTTCCCTCTAGAGTCAGACACGACTGGACTAAGAATGTCAAGGGGAACCTTTACCTTTTTACTCTAGTTCTAACTTCCTACTAGATTTCAGCCAGTATCGTATAACAATTAAAATATTGACAGCAGTTAAGAACACTATAAACAAAATGACAAAAATAAAGGTCTGTAGAGGCAAAGGGGTGCAAAAATGTCCTTGGGGCCACATGGGGTCTCCAAGACACAGTTTTGCTCACTCTGGCCTAGAGACTGGAATATTTAACTTTGAATGACTACCTCCAGATTTTGGAAACTGTAGTCCACCTTCCCCCCACTCCCACAAAACCTGGTGTGACAGGCCAAAATGAAATAGTCTCCCCATGGTGCCTAAATTTAGTGCTTGTTTTGTTACTGAAATCTGAAAAAAAAAATCCACATATGTATACATACACATTTACATATTTAGACATGCCAGGGTTAATACAGTTAATGAACAATGCCTTTCTGATTAGTAGTACAACATTTATCAGCATTAGTGCTGGATATTCACCCAAATAGTTCACAATAAATATAGTTTTGTGCACTGGTTCAATGTGAACTTAAAGCTATAGATACTTTTAAAAAATACATTTGTCCTATGATATATTGTATTATGCATCATTTTGCCAATCTGTATAATAGCTGCCTTATTTTAAAAATTGCTTGACAAGCATATTTGGTATAGTTCTATTATTTGTTGACATACTGCACATTTTTATAACAATTTGCAATCTTCTACTGCTACTGCCAATTTCCACTAAGTTAAATTTTGTTTTATTGCAAAAACAATGTAACTACAGGTTTAATGGATAAGTATTTTTGTGTTTTTGAATTCATGTTCTGCCTAATAGGCCAGGCCCAGGGAAAATCAAACACAACTTGTATTAATTTTCTCCCATTAAAATCTATGGATTTTAAAAAAGATGGCTTGTTTTGGATTGTGCCTGAACAGTACAGGTGCAGTGGCTGAAATCAAACTGTTAGTCCAATTAGAGTAGATCAAGCAGACCAATGGGATTCATATAAGCATTAATTTAACAAAGCCCATTCATTGGGTGATTTTCTACTCTAATTAGATTTAGCTCAATGTATATAATGCAGTATTTTAGTTAGCTACTATGTTTATTATCTTCAGTATATGTTGTGCATACTTCACTGTAAACAGTGGTCTTATAATTTGCATTTGAATTAAAGCACTGCAAATCTCCAGATCTCCCCAAGCAGGTAAAAAAGTGCAAGCCAAGGCACTGAAAAGGGCAATACAGTACAACCAAAATATTTTGGATTATTTGAGTAAAAAACAAATCAGATAGAATCATTTTGAAGTCAGGCAAGTAACAAAACCGAAACCAACAAAACAACACAAGTTACACAAGCACATTAAAAGCAGGCCAGCAGGGTTAGCTACCGTGATCACTTGATGACACTAACAAATGACTTGTGTGAAGGCAAGGAATAAGTCCTACCCGTATTATATGCATATGCAGTATTATACATGTCTGTGTCATCATCTATAAAAAGAAAGATAAACATTATAGTAGTGGAATAGCTGTCTATCACAGTGAGGCAGCTTTGCCTTTGCAAATTCAAACAAACAAACAAAAAGGTTGGCAGCTAATGCTCTTTCACAAGGTAAACATTTTATTTCTTGATTCTATGCCATATATTACTAGTTTAATATTGAAAAATCCTATTCCGGATAACATGTGTCTCTTGTATCACTGGGGATGTAAAGTGTATCTACTATTTTCTTTTATCCTTAGGCAGTTTCCATTAGCAGCCAATTCACACTTACAGCAGTATGAGAATCACTGTTCTGTGCAGTTCACCATATTGCTGCAAGAGAACAGCAAAGCACCTGGATGGGGCCAATGGCGTGGATTTTCCCCATGCAAACATCATTCTGCAGGCCAGTGTGAATGAGCCATTAGAGATAAGAAAAGAGATGCACCAGCTGTTGAATCTAGAGTTAACACTGGCATGATCCAGACACTTTTAAATTCTGCTGATATGAATACAAGATATGAATACAGTATGTGATCATTTTCTCTGTTGAAATCAACAAGATTTACATTTCATTTCCACCAAGGAATTCACCACCCATCCTTTCTGGCATTACTGACAACTCTACTTAACATCTCTACCTGGCAATATTCCATTTTGCAGAGATGCAGAGACGTTTATGAGCTCTGCTACTTGAAATCCCACAACTAAAAATTAAACAAGGCAAAACATGTGTTGTCACTGTGAAACACTTCCTTCATTTGTATGTCTGATTTTCCCTTATAAAAACGGTTAAGCTACCAGAGGAACTATGAAAACAGTCCTCATATTTCAATGAAAAGAAAATGAAATGCATATTCCTTCTTCATAGTGTCGTGCCACCGAAACATGGCCAGCTGCCTCTATAGCATTGTAGACTTGCTCTCTCCAACAAGTGTGCAGGAACAAAATCACTTTCATTGACCACATGTTCAATAGCTAAAATCCTGCAGTGCAAATTTTGCCTGCCTAAGGGCAATGATATCACTGGTAGGGAAAGACTGCTGGTAAATTAAACAGTTCCTCCTTTAATTTGGGGGCTTGCAAAACTCACCTGCAATCACTCTCATTGTATGCAAGTTGGGTGAATTCCAGGATTGAAGGGGGAACTCTTTAGTTACCAACAACTTCTCCTTGCTGGATGATGCTTGGCAGCAGCAGATTGCTTGTAATTAAAAAGTTCCTGCTTTGACCACAAGGCTTGCTTGATTTGCCTGCAATGATACCGTCAGCAGGTATAGAACTCTTTAATTATAGTAATATCTCCCTGCTAGTGATATCACCCTTATGTGAGTGTAGTTTATGCTACAAGGTTTGGGCCATTTTCTGTTGCATCCAGTGTTAATTTAAAAGGGATCCGTGGTATGATCAAGATTGTAGTCAGGTGGAACTACTCTATATGAATGGACCCTTTCACTCAAAATGTCAAAGACAGGGAACATAACCAATGAGTACAACTATCTTTGCTGCATTTTGTTTGTGGACAGCTCTTTTAGGCTGCCGTTTCTATTCTCAAGTTTTCTTTAATCTGCCAAAGGGAGAAACACATACATATCCACAGCTGTGAAGAAGCTAATTCCCTTTGCAACTGTGTCTGGCTAAAAGGAAAGGGGATGTGCACTACAGCCCCATCCCTGACTATTCTGGGCTGCTAGCAACACCCCAGACCTTCACCCAACAAAGCTCCAGAACTTCAATGCAGTTACAGAGGTTCTGGACCAGGAATCTAACCTTATCAGGGTTTCTGATTCTGGATGCAAAGCCTTGCACAGACCTTGCTATGCCTGCACTAGACTAGCGTTCTTACTAGACTGTCTATCATTCATTTCCTGTTTTGAAAAAGAGGTGCTTCCTCAAACAGTGAAAGACATGCTTGTCGTAGCATGAGATTTTCCTCACTTAAACGGCTTCCATTTAGAGTGTGTTTTTTGTTATTAGTCACTGGAAGGTAAGCACAGACATAATTTGCAAGTGTGACTTCTGAGGTACATATTTCTGAGGGAATCCAATTCTGGGAAGGAGAATAAGATATTGGAAATATTTTCTTCCCATAACATCTAGATTGGCCCAACATACTAATAGGAGGAAGCAAGAAGGAACTTCTTATTAAAAATGGGGGTGGGGACTGTGTTTCTCCAGACTTTGGCAAACTTTAAGAGCTCTGGTTTAGATGGCTAACAATAAGGGATGGAAAGAAATGAAGTTCAGATTGATCTGGAAGGCCACATATTCCCTACTCCTGCTGCAAAGCATTCAGAGTATTAATATTAAAAAAATGCCTTGTGAAACTAGCACACTTGCCAGTTATAAAGTTACAGAAAATTAAAGCATTTTCAATATAATGTATGATGTTCCCTCATTCAATGTGGAGCAGTCAGGCATGTGGAGAAAATGCCCAGTCCACTGTGTCTACCAATGCATCTCCTCCCTCTCATGTGGGAAACAGGATACACAGAAATGTGCTGCTATGCGCCAGTGATGAATGTGTCAGTGTGAGGTAATGGCTAGCTTATAAGAATTAAAGGCCTATGCTTCATATAAAGACTGCTTTGTAACAACGCAGACCACTGTTCAGTCTACAGCAATATGGTCCATGCTAACTGTTAGTGGCTCTCCAGGGCTTTTGATAGGATATATCAACCTTAAATATTAAATACTGTATGTGTGAGCTCTACAACTGAGCCACAATGGGCTCTTCAGCGTTAAGTTGATGGACTAAATAAGTCATAAAAAACTTAATTGACTTAATGGTGCTACACTGTTTAATTCAGCAGTAAATTAAAAATACACATTGTTTTTAATAAAAAATAAACTGCAAGTGGCAGGCACTATCTTAAGCATTCTTCTTGTATCTCATCATCATAACTTTTAAAGTATCTCTGAAATGTTTGCGTGTGCATTATCTAAAAACAAGGAAGACATAATTCTTCCCAATTCGAAGTATTTTCATTAGTGTAAACTGTATTAATCAACTGACAAATTAGCGGCTTGACTTATTTAAATTAGCTCTGATCCAAATTCCTGGTCAGCCATGATGGTTTTTGGATGATCATGGAGCAAACACTATTTCTCTGCTCTGTAATCTTGGATAAAAGTTACATTCTGAGTTTCTAGAATGACCAATGATTCTTTTGAGAAAGAAACAAAGAAAATCACTCGTGGAGATGCAGAAACATATAGTTCAGCCAGAATTATTAATTTCACTATGTAGCTGGAGCTCTCAAATAGATATGTTGCCTTAGTAGACAGTAGCAATGAAAATCATCTTATGTTAATTCCTACGGAGGATGTGAAATCATGCTACTTGCCTTCTTTAATAGATTCACTATAATCTCTTTTATTTCTATTTACCTCTTGAAAATCCTGTTAAGGACACTCACTAGCTTTCCCTAGAGAATAATAAATCAACTGTATTCAATGGTTTGAAGAAGTGCCTACTGGATCTGGGTTTTTTATTACTTAACAACCATCAATTTTTATATAATAATCAGACAACAAGCCACAAAGATGTATACAACTATAGCAAGAAGATGAAGTAACACATACCAGGCTTGTGAACCATGTGGATTTGCTTGAACATCGTCTTATACCAATCCTTCGGCCTGTCAACTGTCTAAAAATAATAAAGTTTTAAACCATTAGAAAGGGGGAAAGAAACCCTTCAAAAATTAAATTGATTATAAAATTGCTTTTTAGATTAATTTGTAATTGAGGTAAGCCTGCAGTTTATTCAGTGTACTGTAGTTATAATTGGTGGAGTATCCTGTCACGTGCAGCATCCTTTACATTCATTAGGGATGCTTCAGTATGATGCATCCCTCAGTACTTCATAGGGTGAGAGAAGACAACCTTCAAACCTCCTTCAAGCAAACAGTCTTGTAGAAACTAATTATCCACCAAGAAAGACAGAAAAGGATTGTGTGAGCTTATGGGGCAGCACTGCTCTAATATGTGAGTGCCTTGCTTGAAACTTGAGAATAGAACTGAGAACAATACAGCCCATTATGAGTAGCCCCCTACCATTTACCTAGTCCTTAACCTTCCACTCAGTCCTCTTCTCTTCAAGGTAAAAATGTACATTGGGAGACAAGTAAGGGGCAAGACAGGTGCCAGGAAGAGGCCAATTGACTGATTTCTCACCAAAAAAATTACTTCCCATCAGAGATTTTAGGAACTGTAGTCACATTCCAAGTGCTCAGAAGGAAGCTGAATGGTGCCGCTGCTCAATTGAGCAGTGGCTGTTCCATCTACTTCTTTCATAGATGGAAGAGCCCTGTATTATTTCAATTTTTTCCCAATATGAGGCCCTCTGCCTTGGAGAAGATACAGTGGGGATATCCCAGTTGGAATTTTTTTAGGGTTTTCTCGAAAAGCTGAGAAATCTGTTAAAAGTTTCTGAGTGTCCGTGGAGTGTTTGAAAATACAGAGTACTTTAAGGATGATGTGGATGATCAGGAATCGTTACACAGAACCTTGTTTCTAAGGAATTACGCATTTTTAAAAAAAGTTGGAAATAGCTCAATTTGGTAAAAACTATTTGGCACAATAGCTTCCATCAAGTGTTCCTCCACGTATTTACTCAACACATTATGGTGGGGATGCCACAGAATTCAGTTCAATAGACCAGGAATTACATTAGGAGTTAATGTGATCCACCAAGAAGTCCCTTTGAAATCCACTGAAATACAGTATACTCATTTGCTAGACATAGATCTTTACTTAAAAGATTAAACTCTACTGCTAAACAATCAGATAGCAAGTAACAATGAAAAAGTAAGAACAGCAAGTGTTGCTTAATTGTCTAAAGAAATATATACCATCAAGAAATGATTAATAAGGAAGTACATAGTTAGTGGAAATATTTATAACTCCCTGTAAAGTGTCTCCTGCTTGCCCCACATTCTGCTTAGCCTTAGTAACAATCTGGAATCATGTGATCCTTTGTGAAAGTGGGCTGTGAATTTTCACCAGACAAAACCCCATTTTAAAAAAAACCAGGAATGTTTGCTACAATATTCCAATACTGCACTGCTAAAGTTAAACTAATCCTGATGGACCAGATTTATTCACACACAAATGACAGGACTTTTTGTTGTCCAAATAATCAGAAGGTTAACTGTGAAGCAATTGTATTGGATTGTGTTGTTAGAAGTCAAATAAACAGGCACACACCCCAGGACGCACACACAAATTTGGTGGCTTGATTCTTTTCTTGATAAGAACCTTTGTAGCTATAGTGAAATCCTGTGACTGAGACATCTTTTATTTCTCTTGTGAGGACAAGCCACACACTCACCACTTTTCATTGTAAAGAAAGCATCATTACTCAGCTATAACGACATACATTATGGAATACTTTTAAAATTCTGATTAATAGGTCCGAGTGTTCTTATAGAATGCCAGCCAGTCAGCTAAGCTGTATATACATATATACTCTAAGCTGATTTTATTCAGTACAAAACAAGGCAGGGAAAAATCAGTTCCAGCTCTTGAGCTTAGCAACTAACAAAAAGGGTAGAGCTTAAAACTGATGGTGAAACCTGACACAGATTTGAACTCTAAAGTGAAGAGAAAAAGTATATAATGACACTCATCCAGTTCTCCTTTATTTCTTTGTAAGGAAAACACATCAGCATGCTGTGTATTCACAAACTTCAGAGCTATAATTTTTAGCTGCTGATGGCATACAGTACCTCCTCTCACTTGTTCTGAACAGAGTGATCACACACCACTATTTTCAGGTATACCTGCATGGAAACACTCGTGTACAACTGGAATGATCACATGTGGTGACTTAACACAGTTCTTTTAACACTTCCCAACATGGATCTGCTTTTAGGAAAAATAAAGGTTGAACCAATTCCTTTAGTTAATGTTGCTAGTTGGTAATAAAACAAAATAAATCCCTGCAAGTTGTGTAAGGTAGTATTTTTTCCTTTTGTAATTTTACACAATTTTCTAGAAGCGGAGCCATCTTTTAAAAATGCAAACAGTAATACTGAATGGAGTGCAAGAGAATAAAGAAGTGCTGGAACCTGGAGTTTCCAGCAAAAGCCCTGGCACTTTTTAATGAAAAACCACATGAAAAGGAGCTATTTCAGTAGATCACATCACACATATCAAGGGAGCAACTACTAGGCACGATAACACCTAATATAGCAAAACTATAGATGTCATTGATTAGAACACTTGCTGTAAGCCACAAAGTCTGAAGCTTTGACAGAATTCCATAGCTTCTTCATTGAGTTGTTGTGAGTTGCTCACAAAAGTAAGTATTGAAAGGTCATAAGGAGGGGCAAAGTACTGTATTTGCCGGCGTATAAGACGACTGCGCGTATAAGACGACTCCCCAACATTTCCACTCAAAATATAGAGTTTGTATATTTCTGAAGGGAAATGGTGGGAGTTTAGAAAGATAAGCAAGAGGAGGAGGGCAAGTGGTGGGGCAGGCGGCAGCGGAGGAGGGTGAGGAGGAGGGCAAGCGGCGCGTTCGACATGGGCTGGGCGGCGCAAAGATGTTGCTCTCGCTGGTGCTGCACACCTACTCCATGCGCTACATGCTGCCCGCTCTGGGTGCACTCGGTGTATAAGACGACCCCCCACTTGGAGGAATGTTTTTCAGGGCAAAAAGTCATCTTATATGCCGGCAAATACGGTAAGCAGAACTGCTCATCTCAACCATAGAAATACCTTCTACCAAGGCCTAGAAGCATGGTCTCTATGGTAAGAAGACCATAATGGCAATCCTTTATCAAAAAACATATTGGCAACTTAATATCTTCCTTCCATATAAGGAGTAAGGATTACTCGCTGCTTTTCTTTGTTACTTTCTGGGGGTTAAAATGCTGTGGTGGGACATTTTGAGGGGATTTTTTTTCAACTGTTAAACCATTTAACCATTTAGATCCAAATTTTTAAAAATAACTAAAAAGTAATCAGCAACATTATTAGTTATTGTAGCATTAATGAGTTGCTGGGTTTTATGATGAGTTCCACAATAAATTATTTTAAAAAGCAACTTTTCAAGCTTTTCTTTTTGAAAGCTTGAATGCTTCAAGCTCAATGCAAACAGAATAATAATTATAATGGAGTATATGAATGGACATATATCATGCTCCAGCAATATTTACATCATGTCCATAACATTCCCAGTGGCTGGTCATCTATGTGTACAGTTCAACTCTGACAATATGGATGAGGAAAAATAGGACCTATAGAGAAACAAAGCAAAAATGAACACATGATCTAAAATCTGTTATACAGATGTGCAGTTTTATGCAAGGTGGATAAAAATAAATGATTTTTTTTAAAAAATCAAATGGATTTACATAAAATTGATTTTTTATTTAAATCATCAAAAACTCCAATTTTAAAAAAATTAAATCAATTTAATTTATATCAGATCCACACTGGTTTTAAGGATGCATACACTGCAAATAGGCCATTGAAATGACCACACTGGGGAACAGGCAAGTGTGCACAACCCACATAGCCTTTTATTTTCAATGTATGAGAGTGCTCTGCTATTTCCAGCAACAAAAGGCATCACAATAATAATAGTAGTAGTAGCAGCAGCAGCAGCAAAATACAGCATGATGCAAGGAAAAACAAAACTTTACTTGGAGTGCATTTTAAATCAGTATTGCCCGTTTCTAAAAATATAGAAATGACAGCATGCACATCCTTGTACGAAATATGGGATGATTCAAATAAAATAAATGCAAGAGATGCATTTATGCAATCTGCATTTTGGAATCTGTGTGTCATCAAAGATGGCTCCACGAAAAATGAACATGTAACCCTGATTTACAAACTTATACACAGACATTTGTAAAGCTAATTATGTATAGTGTCATCAATAGCTTCAGTAAGCCCTCAACTGCCTGCAGTATAGTGCCAATGAGTGATACCTGACACACGGCATAAAAATGGCAACACTGTAAGCACACTGCAGGAAGGAAGTCTATGGCATTCTATAAGCAACCCTTTGTAGTGAACAGGTTGCTCAAGTTTGGCAAGTTAGTTTCCATTCCTCCTACAGGCTTAATTGTTGAAAACTCTTGGAAAGTGACCAGATGGGTAGGCATTACCTCCAGCAAAATATGTGTCGTTTAAAATACTTGGATGAAAGATATCATTGTTCATTAATTCATTCAATATACGGTAGGCATGACTGTATACAGCTGATGCCTTCCCATCGCTGCTGCTGACCTTTACTTTTTTGGAAGAGCCAGACCTTTTCACTTCACACTTTCCTACAGAAGAGAGCAAACTAACTATAGTCAGGCTCCTACCCAAACAAAAGAAAGAAGTCTAGAGCTAGGTTGAATATCTGACCAACCACTGTTGTTTCAGTTAAAGCAAGCACACAGCACCACCGCCACCAGCTCATTCCACATTCTCCTTTTTCTTAATGATGGCTTCTCATGCAATGTTTCGCATCCAAGTGGGAAAAACAAACAAACATGCAGGCCTCTGGACAGTGGCATGTGGTGGCTCTTGTGACTGGTGGTGTGGAAGGCACCACAGAGGTCTAGAGATGATAGGGCCAACAGCCTGAGATGGGGAACAAGTGAGGCAGGACCTAGTCTTTCCACCTGTGGCAAACAGGTAGGCAAGAATGGGCTGTATCAGGATAGCCTAAGGTGAGGCAATGCCCTAACTGCCCCAAAAGGCCAGCTGATATTTCTTCTGAATTGCACATGAATGGGTTATCTTGTCTCTTCAAAATACACAAAAGTGAAGTGAGTCCAGGTGGTGCCAGCTTTAGGTTATGAGGAGCCCTGGGCTAAGATGCCCCAAATGCTCACATTAAATAACAGTTCATATTAAATATAGTAGTCTAAGGTGCCACAATGTTTTCAACTCTTGTTTTTTGTTTTTTATTTTGACTTCTGAGCAAGATGGGCAAGATCTGTTCGCAATCATCCCAGAGTGCAGGACATGCAACAATGGGCTCAAGTTAAAAGAAGCCAGATTTTGGTTGAATATCAGGAAAAACTTCCTAACTTTTAGAGCAGTTCGACAGTGGCACCAGTTACCGTATTTTTCGCACCATAAGACGCACTTTCCCCCTGCAAAACAGGGGGGTGGAAAGCCTGTGCGTCTTATGGAGCGAAGAAAACAGATTATATTTTCCTGTTTTCTTCTCCTAAAAAATTGGTGCGTCTTATGGAAAGGTGCGTCTTATGGAGCGAAAAATACGGTACCTTGGGAGTTGGTGAGTGCTCCAGGACTGGAGGCATTCAAGAAAAACTTGGATAATCACCTGCCAGATATGCTTTGATTGTATTCCTGCACTGAGCAGGGGGTTGGACTTGATGGCCTTGTAGGCCCCTTCCAACTTCACTTTTCTATGGTTCTGTGCACCTCCTCCTTGAGGCAGTCAACATTGGCTGCTTTCGTGCCATGTCGCTCTTGGACAAATCCACACTATCAACCAGAAGCAGCAGGCAAGTAGAGCAGAAAGGGCTGCTCCTTCTCCTCACCCTAACTCCATCTTCCTTGTGTGATAGCAGGGAGCAAGTGAGCAGGAAACGGCAGCATGGAAGAAGAAAAGCAAGGCCAGGAAGTTACACAGCCAGCCTTGCTTGTATTCAGTAACCATTAAAATAACAGTAAAAAATATTGGTGATGCTACTGGACTAAGTTCCAAAAGAACAAAGATAGGGAAAGCTCGACTGTGGTGGGAGGAAGTGATAATGGAGCAAGAAGCATAATCTGTTTTGTTCTAGGCAGCCACACAGTATCATTTCAAAGAGTGGTTTTAGAGAGAATAATTTGGGGATAAAAGCCAATGTTTATCTAGTGGAATTTCTATAACTTTCTCTTCTTTCCCCCTCACAGCCAGCCTTCCACGCAGTCCAAAACCTAGCTCTAGAGGGTTTCCCAGAACTCCAGAGTTGGGTTGGGGTGTGTGTGTAAATGTGTGGCTTCTACTATTTTCCCCATCAAAGTATGCCACTGCTTCCAGCCTATGGGACTACCAAAAAGGGATACCAAGGAATCTTGGCATCCCTCTTCAATGAAGTTTGCAGGACATTTTGTTTTCCTCTTGTTCATCCAGGAGGAGGAAGGAGCTGGTGACGTATGCAGTTCTTCAAAGACTGCAAGGTAACTATTTCAATA